TCAATTATTTTGTTTTTTTAGAGTTATTCAAACTTTCTAGTGCAGTGAAGTTCCTCCTAATGTAGGATCTATTTCAAGGGGGAGACCTGTGCGGGACCAGTGGAGCTTGTATAATAGTCGACCGTACTCACAGTTAGCTGTCTCGTACCCCTCCTTTTTTCGAATCCAGGAAGTTCCGTTTGTTCAACACTATCACCAGCAATAAATTCGTCTGTGGCTTTTCCAGATCCCAGGATTTTTCTTAATACCTCTGCGAGGTTAGTCCGTTTATTGTCCTCCTTTTTGGGGCCGAGGAGTTTCCTTAGTTAAGCACTATTTTCAGTAACTGGTTGGTCTATGGTTGTTCCAATACCTCACGAGAAATACCCCTCTAAAATTAAAATCAAAAACAATGCCAACATTGACAAATAATAGACATATTGCCCTCTTTAAGGACTTGGTCGAAAAAGACTTAAAGGTAACCACCTGGGATATAAAAGGACAGGATAATTTAAACCCTATGGAAAGAAAAGCATTAAAAGAACTGAAAGACATACCTGGACTGATAATAAAAAATAGCGACAAAGGGGGGAATGTGGTTCTAATGACAGAAAGGATGTACGTTATGGAAGCCAAACGCCTTTTGAATGACAGAGATACATATGAGAGATTGGATAGTTCCCCCTTTAAGAAACGAATCTGTGACTATAATTATAAAATAGACATAGCAAGAGATGTGAGATTACTGTCAAAAAAGGAATCTGGCTTCCTAACGAACACATTCAATACCCCTACATTTTATACTATCCCAAAGATCCATAAAAACAACACAAACCCACCAGGGAGACCCATAGTGTCAGCAGTGGGTGGCCCCTGGAAAATCTAGGGAAGTACTTAGACCACCTCCTGAAGGAAATGGTCTTCAAATTGCCTTCATTTGTTAAAGATACAGGAGATGTATTAAATAAAATAGAGAATCTAGAGATAATAAATGGAGCCATACTTGTGGGAGTGGGTGTTGAGTCGTTATATACATCCATCCCTCACGAATGGGGACTAAAAGCAGTCAGCCATTTCCTGGAATTGAACTACCCGGAAATGGCAGCGCAAAATGAGTTTCTCGTAGAAATGTTAGAATTTGCCCTCTCCAATAATTGCTTTCAGTTTGCAGGATCATATCATAAACAACTTAATGGAACGTCAATGGGAGCCCCCTGGGCACCCGCCTACGCATGTTTACATCTTGGACTCTGGGAGATGGAGGTAGTCTATGGTCATCGTTCATACCTGGGTCATGCTAAAACATGGCTCAGGTATATGGATGACGTATTGATGGTATGGCAGGGCAGTGAAAATCAACTAAAAGAATTCATTTCAGAACTAAACATTAATAATCGGAATTTAAGATTGACATATAATTCTAGTGATCGAGAAATCCCCTTCTTGGACCTAATGATTGGGTTCGGGAGGGGGAGATTGATCACAAGAACTTATAGAAAGGAAACCGCAGCTAATACACTTCTGCATGCAAATAGCCATTACCCCCTGTCACTGAAGCAAGGAATCCCCACAGGGCAGTTCCTGAGGATTAAAAGGAACTGCACAGAACATAAAGATTATGTGATGGAATCAAGATCCCTTTATAATCGCTTCAGACAGAGAGGATATTCACATAGAACCCTCCGGACAAGTAAAACCAAAGTAGGAAAGAAAAGTAGAGCTGAGATCCTTAAAGGAAGAAATAGCAAAGAAGGAGAACAAAAAGAGAGGACAGTAAACCATGTGAGAATGATAACACAATATGGGTCAAGCTGGCCAAAGCTGAAACAGATTTTTGAAAAGCATTGGCATGTTCTGAATCTATGCCCGACACTTGCTGATATTGTTGGACCGAGACCACTCTTGACGGCAAGGAGAGCCAAAAATCTGAGAGACCATCTGGTAAACTCGGAATATAAACCAAGCAAGAATAGTTCGATCAAGCCAACGTTACCAAAAATAAAAGGAATGTATCCCTGCGGTAAATGCCCATATGTAGAAAAAACAAAACAGTTCCAAGATTCAGGGGGAATAAAATCATATCAAATCACACAGTTTATTAATTGTAATACAGAGAAGGTAATATACATGTTGGAGTGCCCCTGCAAGAAAATATACGTTGGGAAAACAAAACGACAGCTATGCACCCGTATAGGAGAGCACTTAAGGGATATAAAAAACAAAGATATTGATAGTCCTATAGCAACACACGTTGCAGACCATCATAACTCCTCACCAAAAGGCCTGAGGGTAAAGGGGATCTATGTCTTAAACCTCCCACCCAGGAGAGGAGATTTTGACAAGATACTCCTGCAGAAAGAAAAAATGTGGGTATATAAGCTTAATACCCTTTTACCCGCTGGCCTGAATAATGAGATTAATCTCAATGTCTTTCTTTTAAAGAATTTATGTTTAGTTATAACAATGATAACATAAATACCCTCTCTAGAAATATATGCCGATTCAAAAAATAATCAAAAATAAACATATTTCCTAAATGACCAACTGACAGCTTTTTATAGATACTTAGATAATGTCCAAATAGAAACATCTCTGCCGGTATGAATGCTTTTTGATTGAAAAGAAAAGGCAGATTTTGAATATTTTTTTTATATATATAGCCTTCATAAGCATCCTACCTTGAAACATACATCCTGGATGTAATCATCGAGCAGGTGTGAAAGGGCTAGTTAAGCAGACCACACACCTGCCATCCAGAAGGTGCAGCCGAAGCTCCGATGGGCGGAGCGAAACGCGCCCACCCTTGAGTGTGTGTACACATGCTATGTCACCCACACAAACGGCAGCTCTCTTACGGATCATTTGAATTACTTTGTTTCCTGAACAACAAGTGAAATTCAAACGTCTCTAAGTTATTAACAAATTGTGTTGAAGTACCGAAAAATCCTGAGGTATTGGAACAACCATAGACCAACCAGTTACTGAAAATAGTGCTTAACTAAGGAAACTCCTCGGCCTAAAAAAGGAGGACAATAAACGGACTAAGGTATTAAGAAAAATCCTGGGATCTGGAAAAGCCACAGACGAATTAATTGCTGGTGATAGTGTTGAACAAACGGAACTTCCTGGATTCAGCTAACTGTGAGTACGGTCGACTATTATACAAGCTCCACTGGTCCCGCACAGGTCTCCCCCTTGAAATAGATCCTACATCAGGAGGAACTTCACTGCACTGGGAAAGTTTGAATAACTCTAAAAAAACAAAATAATTGAGACTCTCTAAACGAATTCACTCATCAAAAGGGTTGATATACTGAGACCAGAGCATATATACATAATTATAGTGGATTGTTTCTGCCTCAAATTGTACTGTTTATAGAGACTTCCTCTCCTCAATTACAGACAAACAGTCCCTATTTCATTATACTTTTTATGTATCAGGTGCCACAAATAGGTCAGACCTATATCTTAAAGTAAAACTACAGTTCAGATTCCCCCCCTCCCCCCTTATTTTTGTATTTTTTGCATCTTCAAAAGCAGGAATAAAAGTACCGAGAGGGACCAAGAGTTATATTGGGAGAATTCCCCCTTTAGAAATTTTGAAGATATTATTTGCCGTAATCTGTGTGAGTGCATAGTATGTATGGAAGAATGCATGTATGAATGTTATGGACAACGTTGTTCTTTTATGAAGATTTTTGTAGAAATGGAGTAACAGGTGCTGAATATGAGATTTTGTAACTAATAAAGTTTATACTTTTACAAGAAAGCATAGAGGTCTCGGTCTATTCAGTAACCATCTTTCACAGTGCCCTTTCTTTTGAAAACACTGTTACCATTTTTTTGTGCTCTTTGGCTGCAATGTAATTCTTTAAGAAAAACTCTGGTCTCTCTGGTCAAGAAACATTCTATAGTTTCTCTAACGGATTTCCTTTTTCATTTTTATTCTGAAGTATGATCAAATGCTAAAGGGTTAAATAGCTTTTCAAAACGTAAGCCCCAGTGTCCCTCTGATGGGGGGAAAGAATACAATGTATGCGACAGTGGGGCAGCAAGGGCGTAGCATACCTGGTTGAATTTATTGTGCAAGACTGTGTTTTAGCGTTTAGTTCAGTAACTATACATACACTTTTATTTACAGTTTATTCTGTATTATTTTTTGTGTGTTATTGTTTTCACTCTTGATCAGTAAAGCAATTACTGGAACTCTTAGACTCCTCCCTTTGCAGGGCTAAGTATTTTTTACACTCTGGCGCAATCTGATTGAGAATATTGTTCATTCTGTTTTCTTGTGCGAGATGTGCACATGTTAGTACCCTATGCAGTGCAAGATGTTTTATCGTGTGTTGCAGCACGTTGTGTTACCACAGCCGATTCATTTTGAATTGACAGTTTCCCCAGCACACTCGCCAGCCAGCATGCAAAAAAACTTGTCTCACCGCTAAGGTTAAAAACAGAGGTTTAGATACACGTCTTCTGCAGAAAATGTGAAAGCCGCACCAAGGCACCTCTAGATAGTGCAGTAGTTTTGAATTGAGCCCGCAGGAAGCAAAATCACCCTGCTCTATTTTTTTTTCTATTCTGTAGTGGGAGAGCCTTTCAAAATAAATGGCACTGCAAAGCATTGCGTCATGCTTGGTGCATTATCTTGCGTTTTAATGTACATTACTGCAACACAACGGTGTGAACAGGTCTTTAAAGAGCACCTATCCTTACCCTAAGGGTCCTTTCACATGTAGGTGATGCATCCCACTTTGGCAAAGCAGCAAGAAAAACAGACATGCACCATTTTTCCTAACACAGCTCTACACAACACCTACCTGGGTGTTTTGGTACGCTCCAGTGAAGGTGCATTGTAGTGCACTGTGTTACTGCATTGGGTTATCATTCAAAAAGAATGGCACGGGGGCATGGCCTAGACATGGCAGTGTGAGGACGTGTGACTCCGGAGCTCTGCACGGCCTCCTCTTCTACATGGATTTAGCAGACTTTTTAACTCTCCTTTCCCGCATGTCCAGCAGCCACAGACCTCGGAGCTCATCACCGTCAGCTACAACCCGCGGCATACGGCACTTTCCACCGACGCTGAGAAAGCGTTCGACCGAGTTAGCTGGGGATTTATGCAAGCAGTTTTACAACATATCGGCCTGGGCAACAATATGCTTAAGTGGATATCTGCCCTATATACGTCCCCATCAGCAGCCGTGCGGGTGAATGAAACCAGATCCAAAGACTTTTCACTGTCCAATGGCACGCGGCAGGGATGCCCCCTCTCGCCCCTGATTTTTGCTCTAATTCTGGAGCCGTTCCTAGGCACAGTTCGGAAGTCACCCAACATACAGGGCTTCCACACATCGGTAGAGGAACAAAAAATCGCGACCTAATCTTCTTCCTCACAGACCCGATACGCTCTATGCCTCACCTTTTATCAGCACTAGACGAATACGGTAGACTCTCTGATTTTAAAGTGAATCTTTCCAAATCCTCGGCTTTGAGTATTACGTTGCCGACGCAGGTGCTTTCACGCCTACAAACGGATTTTCCCTTTGCGTGGGCTCGCGACCACCTTAAATACCTGGGGACTAAAATCACACCAGACATTCAAGACTTATATTCGGCCAACTTTGCGCCATTACTTACGGAACTCTTCGCAGACCTCAAACGTTGGTCTTCACTTACTATCTCGTGGTTTGGCAGATGCGCAGCCGTTAAGATGAACATCTTACCCCGGGTTTTGTACATGTTCCAAGCCCTACCGATCTTTCTCCCATCCAGCTTTTTTCAACGTCTTCCAAAGAGCTGTGATGTCCTTTGTGTGGGCAGGATCCCATCCGAGACTGAGCAGAAAGACCTTGCATCTTCCGCGGGACAGAGGGGGGTAGGTCTGCCCGACTTCCACTCTTACTATAAAGCGGTGCACCTCAATAGGATTCTGGACTGGCACGTTCATCGCGATAACAAGATCTGGGTCGCTATTGAACGGGCCACACACAGGCTTCCTATAGATGGGCTCCCGTGGCTCTCCGCCCCCCTACCGTCCAGGTGCGGAAAATGCACAACTCATACACTGACCCCTCTAGCCACCCCTGTCACCCAGTAATCATTATACCTGAGGGGATCTGGTGAAGTTATATCACCTTCCCAGACGTACAAGATCTCCCACCCATGGGGAGTTCGGGCAGTGGTCCAGGTACCTCTCTCCTCTTTCTTTTCCTTCAGAGGCCTACCAATCCGACTTCACAGGGCTAATTCTGCAATTCTCTGCACCCGCACCTTTCTGTTCTCTCTCTCCCCTTTCCTCCTGCATCACTTTTATAAGGTTATTTACGAAAATAAACACTATGGTTGAGGTGGGTGGTTCTGCTGTTCACACGACCCCCCTTTTCATCCCAATTGCAAGGTACACATAGACGATATGCACAGCTATACGATTTTATAATTAATGCTTGGGTAACCTATTTCCGGGGGGTCGTCATCGTCATCAGATTCTGATCTCTGGGTATTTTATGGTTATTCTAGCTCTTGGAACATTGCAAGGGTACAAAAGAATGCATTGTATTTCAGATATCTTTGTACTGATGCTTGTGTTTTGTGTATTCTATGCATGTTCAGTCAATAAACAAATTAAAAAAAAAAAAGAATGGCACCTCACTGCAGTAGGTGTGGTAACATGCAAGTTTTACCACACCAAACCTGACATTTAAGGCCCATCTCTGGGAAAACAAAAAACCTCACCCACACAGCATGGGATAACTGCTTGTTTATGTCTCAGGGACTGGTGTAAGGCAGTTTTACCTACCTGTTCTACGGTCCTGCTGGCTCCAAAACCGGCTCCTGCAGCCTCTTCCTCAAGCCCCCAACCCCCGTCGGCTGTTAGGGGCCCACTGACAACATTACATCTAATTCAGGATCCATAGTACTTCTTTATACACGAGGACGTTGAGGGACAGTTAAAAAGCAGGATGAGAGGGCAGACCGGTTAGTGCCAACTACAGGGGTAGTGTGGTTCAGGTAAGTTTCATGGCTTTACACAGTCCTCTAGATATAAAAAAGCAGCTACCGCTTGCAGTGTGAGGGTAGCCCCACTGGAAAGGGAGTTTGTTTCTGCAGAGATAGGACTATTCCAAAAACAAACAAAAAGGAATTTAAAGGATTTGTGCTGCTTTTCATTTGCAGAAAGCATGAACTAGTACTAAGAAGCTATTCACAGTCACTAAATTCAATACTGAAATATGGAGGCTGCCATTGCTGAGCTGACTCAGTGCTTTGAATTACTGGCCAGATCAAAGTATAGAGATGAGTAATTCTGTCTGTCCTCTCACTTTCATTTGCTATATGCTTGTTCCGTGTTGCAGAATCAGAACAATTGAAGTCAAACACAGTTATGGAGCCAGTATTTTTGAAGGAGCTGAGCATCCTGCATTTCTCTTGGGACTGATATATTTTTAAAAGTGATTTGTGATGCAGAGAGAGAGAGAAAGAAGATGCACAGCGGTGGCTCACAGAATAATTCAGATTTAAGTTAATTTAATTAGCGTTCTGATTTTAGCACAGCTGCAGTGTCTGCTAGGTGGAGTTAATGATTCCATGGTTGATTTTATGTGTTAGTGGAATTTCTCTTTGATACATGCTAAATCTATATTAGAAATTGGAATGTAAATATGTGAATGAGAAGGATCGTTTTTGCCAGTATGTCCAGAAATCTTAACATACTAGACGTTGTGATGGAGTCTTGCTGTAAGACTGAAAGTAAAAGAGCAAGATTACTACTACTTGTAGTTTATGTGATTTGCCATTGTGCCCAATTATTCACGGGTTTCTTTCTTTGACATACATTCTCTTTAGGTAGCAGCACCCTATTCCATGCATTGCTTCTTAAATGCCTAGAAAAACAAGTGATGGCCATCTGCAGATACACTCCTAGGAGGAATACACCCCCTCGCTTTGTGGCTTTGGTGCCACAAGAAGAAAAACTAGATGAGAACAATTCACAGATAAAACCCCCAGGTAAGTAGTCACAGGTAGCCTGAACAGCTGACATTTCATACACAACATAAGCAAACAGAGCTGTTCCTTTAACGAAGAACTCTGGGCAATCTACAAATTACCCCTTGCAGTGGAACTAACCCCGGACTGCAAGGGTTAACTGTTCATTTCAGTCTAGGGGCTAAAATAAAGAAAATATACTCGCCTGATCCTCGGTCCTGTTTGGCTGCTAGACCGATCCCCACAGCATTTGATGTGAGGACGCTGAGAGACATTCCACTGTTAGAGCAGAGGGGAGGGGACGAGAGGTGAACGCTTACTGCCACGGGACCATGGATCAGGTGAGTATATTTTCTTTATTTTAGCCCCTAGACCAAAACGAGCAGTTAATCATTGCAGTGCAGGGGCAGCCCCATTGCAAGGGTTAATTTTTGGAATGCCCAGATTTCTTCTTTTACTGTTAAAACAAAAATATTGCTGGTGATTAAAGTGCTTACAATAGGGATTTTGCTGTGGAACACAAGTACCTGGGTAGGGTGGCTTTGCTCAGCCAAGGTTTCTGTATAGTGTTACTACAGCACGACAGAACCTCAAATGATGGTGCCAATTGGAGTGACTGCTTTATTTAAATAAAGCTATAGTATGATGGGGAAGGGGGACAGCATTTAGGTTTCCACCTGTGTTACTATTATTCTGTGGTATGACTTGGATGCTTTCTGCTATCTGAGGCCAGGTGCACACTTGGGCGATCCAAGGACGGGCGGGTGTCATACTGCCCCATAGATTTCAATGGGGTTTTATCCGCGCGGCAATCACTGAAAAAGTGTACATGTACCTGTCTTCGTGACATGCACCACATGTTTTTTCAGCCACGATAATGCACGGCATTAGTAAAGAATGGCACAGACAGTGTGATCAGCAGTGGTGTGCGATTCCGTAACTGCGCGGTTTCGTGCACGATTGCCGCACACATGGATCGCCCAAGTGTACACCTGTCCTGAAGCATTGCGGGGGATGTATATGCAGTCATCCATGCAATTGGCAGAGAAGAATGACGGTTCCTATATATTTCCCTGGTATATTTCACTGGTAGATCGCCATGTCCTCTCCTCCCGCCGCTTCTCTGGATCCCCGCTGCACTCCCCAGCGGGGATCCGAGAAGAAGTGAAGGAACCGGCGGCGGGGGAGGGCGGAGGACGGAGCCCCTGTCACAGAACTAATGCAGAGCGTGACATTTTCTGAATGAATGGGAAGCCTCTGTGCTTTTCATTTAGAATAGAGGCTGCAGAAAAAACGATTGAGGACTATGTGTCCTCAATTTCTTTTTCTATTTTAAAAGGGAAATATCAGGGGGCTTTTTAGACCCCTAATATTTCCCCGAAGCCCCCCCAATTAATTACGAAAATAAAAAAAAAAGAAAATAATGAAAATTAAAAAAAAAATAGTAAAAAATACATTCAAAAAACGTTGTTTTTTTTCTTGCCTCAGGCGCAAAAGGAGCTTGCTACGGCTATGCTCCCGTGGTGCTCGTGCGGCTGCCGGCTGAATGTGTCAGACGCTGCAGATGGAAAGGTGCAGGACACCCCATGTGCAACGTCGGCCACACGAGCACAACGGGAGGACAGGGCGCCGGGACATGTAGGGCGCACTGGAATGTAAGCCGGCCGACTCCCTGCGTTCAGGTGCGGGAGGGGGTGTGGAGCTGTATTGAAGTCAATGGCATCGCCCACATTGCGATCGCCCGCACTCGGAACGCAGGCACATTAGTGCCTGCATTCCGGTCCAGTGCAATCTGCAAAAATAGTGCTCGCAGCATTTTTGCGGATCGCACTGGACTGGAACACAGGCACTAATGTAGGCGATCGCACTGTGGGCGAGGGGCCTGGCTGCGGTGCCATTGACCTCAATGTACCGCCACGCCCCCTCCCGCCCCTGAATGCAGGTGTTTTTTCATTGGTAGATCTCAATGAGCTCGTCATTTGAAAAGTAGATCTCCAGACGAAAAATAGTGGGCGCCCCTGCACTATGGCATACATACAGGATGTTAGAAAGGGTTAATGCGGCACAAAGTAAATTGATTTCCCAAAGGGTTAGGAGACCTGTATCATTGTTGAAAAATATATGAATAATGTTCCATTCTAAATAGCCCAGCATATTAAATATGTCAGTACTTGTACTTTTGTTTAACTACCCTCATTTTTAGTTGGAGGCCAGATACATTTTGTGTGAGATAGTTTGTCAATGGCTTCTTTAGTATGTCTTCATACCTGAGCACTAGCACAAATTCCCAGTCACAGGCTTCATAGTAAATACCATTGATCTCTGTGTGGAGCTGTGTGTTTTTTTGCAGCTGCCCTGCTTACTCCGTTCTGCAATCAGGAGGAAATGTGCGCTTTTATGATTGCACAGCCATAATTCTGACTACGCATAACCTGCGTTTTCAGAAATAGAGGTCAGCATTGGTAGCATATGTATTTTTCTCTGTGCTGGTCTTTCAGTATCTATAAATGAATTGATAGTAAATATATTTATTTGATTTCAGGTTTCAATCTTATTTTTATTCCATTTGCTGATGACATTCGTAAAATTGGAGGTCCAGAAAAAGTTCCTGCCCGAGATGAGCAGGTGGATAAAATGAAAGAAATTGTGCACAAAATGAGATTTAAATACAGGTTGGTAATGTTTTGCTGGCCCTAGCAAACACCTTTACGTGAAGCACCAGGTTATTCTATGGCAATGCAACTTTTAAAGCGTATCTAAACCAAGGAAAAAAATGGTATATTGCATCTCACCCTATCTGTGGTGGCTGCATCTGTTTTTTTTCTCTTTCAACTGCTGATCCTGCCAATAACACAATTTTGAAGGGAATTTATCAAAACTGGAGCAGACAAAATCTGGAGCAGCTGTGCATGGCAACCAATCAGCTTCTCTCTTTCATTTTCAAATCCTAACTGAACAAACTGAAGAGAGAAGCTGATTGGTTACCATGTGCAACTGCTTCAGATTTTGTTTGCTCCAGTTTTGATAAATTCTCCTCTTTCTGTCCTAGGATGACAGTGATCACTCACCATACTGTATCTATGGAGAAGCAGCATTGTCGTCCTAGACAAGGACTACAATACCCTCCACTTCTTCTCTTCTCTTTAACCTAGAAGGAAAGGGCTCTGTAGTTCTCAAAGATAGCTGGGAACAGTGTAACTAATAAGAGCCAGCACAGGCAGAGAGCACAGGAAGTTATCAGTTGACAAGATTTCTAAAAAGGATCAACAGGTGTTTGTTCTGCATTACAATACAGGCTACCTAACAAAGGCCAAAAAATTATAGAGCAAAAAAATCAAATCTTGTTCAGAGTGCCAGAACCACGATGGGCATTCAGCCAGTGGCGTAACAACCGGCGGGGGGTCGGCAACCCCCCCCCCGTCCCTGTCCCTCCTCCCTGTCACAGACTTTACTGCAGTTCATTGTACAAAGTTTTTACAATGAACCGCAGTAAAGTCTGTGACACGGAGCTGGGCAGAGCAGAGTCGGGAGCGCTGCTTCGCCTGCGGCCCGGTACCATTTGATCCACGGACCGGTACGTGAGGCAGAAGGATCGGAAAGAATGGATTAATGGCCCAGGTAGGTAAAGGGAATATGGGTCTTGAAAAGTGGAAACAATGCAGCTTTTAATTCAGATATTAAGCCTCATTGTCCCTTTGATTGGAGGAAAGCAGGGCAATTATAGAAAGCAAAGAATGTTTTACAAATGCTCCACTGCTTTTTCTTTGCCTCTGCTACCCCGCTGTTGGAAGATGTGCAAGCAGAAATACACTGCTGCAAATGTAAATTTTTATCCTGATAACCAGTGTTACTGTGACCTATGAATCATTTCAGCACCATAGCTCTATAGTCTTGTATGCATCAGGAAAATCTGGTCACAAACAATTAAATGTTCGTAAATATTTTTCAGGTAATGTATAGGGAATACATATTATTTGGATTATTGTCCTACATTTTCTAAACTCTTTTCTGCTGCAGGTTCAGTTCAGTACATTCATTTTATAGGATTTGTTAATCCTTTGTAGAGTTCATTTTTACTCCGCTCCTGTAATATTTCCTGTGACACTTGCTGCCTCAAAACATAATGAATTATTCCTCATAACAGTTGGCAAGGTGTTCTTTACTTCATTTATCTTTTTTTTTCCTCCAAATGTATTTTTGGTTTTTGTTAAAAATAAAATCTTGGTTCCCTTTAAACCAGGCAGAGGACGACTTCTTCTTAAATACTTGGACAAGATGATGCTAAAACCTAGACTGATAACTCTGCCCTGCTACATGAGATCAAAGGCCTGTTTGTCCTCATGGTATCCCTAGAGTTCTCTTGCCATAATGTGCAATGGCATACTTACATTGTTTCACATTATGACAGACTTACCTTTTTGTATGCCCTCCTCAAAGCAGTGCAAGGCCAGCATCACTACCCATATCATCGCTGCCATCATTGCAATTAGAGCTATAAAGCCCCTTCCCCCCAGTAAAACAATTAGAACACAGTGTCACCTGATTATGAACCATCAAGGTACTTTTGTCAAAGGGACGTGTTGGAAAATTGTTGGGCATCCAGTCAGCTGCAAGCACTGTTTGGGGATTTTGACAGTGGCGGGCACTGCTACCAGCATACAATGGAGACAGCTGAAGAGTCGTCCATCCACACTGTTAGCGTGGATTGAGCAATCTTGTCAGATTTTTTTTTTTTTTTAGCTTCACAGGCTGAGCAAAAAAAATAAATCTATCCATGTGTATCCAGCTTAATGGATTGCTTATGCCAGTTGCTGAAATACAAGTAGATACAGAAACTGACTTTGATTCAGATTTCTATCTGCATTTCCCCCACCAAAAGCTGACAGGGTCTGGGGCAGGTCTTTTAGCCGCATAGAAAGCAAAATATGTGTTTAAAAGTGAGGATTAGACTTCATGCAGAAATAATTGCTGGCTCACTAAGTGAGGTCTGTTTTACAGGCTGAATCAGCCTTTTAGTATAGGGGTAATGGTTGGAGCCATCTACTCAGAAACACAAGAGCTTTTTACACTTCCGACCATTTTACTGTTTTGAAATCACATTTTAATATTTTTTCAACTGAAGCTTTTTTAAAAAATTTTATAAATAAAACTGGTAAGATACACTTAGCGAAATGAAGAGAACTAGCAAACGACATTTTTGCTGTGACATTATTGTTGCCAGTGAGTACAGGGAAACAGAAAAAAACCACCAAGACACTATGATTAGACCACATGAGAGAGTATGGCATGACACAATAATGACTGTCTTTTCTCTTGTGCTTATCTCTCCAGGAGTGAAGCCTTTGAGAATCCTGCACTACAGCAGCAATTCCGAAACCTGGAGGCTCTTGCACTTAATTTACTGGAACCTGAACCCATTGAAGATCTGACATGTAATGCCTTATTATTTATGCTTAGGCCTGTCAAGAAAAAGAGGAACAAAAATGAAATGAATAGAACAATATGCACATTTTGTCAGTGCCCCTGTTTCGTTTAATTCAGTATTCATTTCCTCTTTTGTTGAAACCTTCAAAGCTCAACTCCAGGCAGCAGTAAAAATGTATCCTCATAGTGGATGCCCCCCAGACTGCAGGGGATACATGCTTATTTAGTTGAGAGGTAGAGGAATAGGCAGCAGGCTTTCTCCTAGCTTCAAAGACGGTTCCCCTGAAGCCTCTTTCCTTCGACACTCTGTTGGTCACAGACTTTCCAACGTCCTTGTATACAATGCCCAGAGAGTGGAGGCTGCTGCAGGGGGAGCGAGGGATAACTTATTATGGCTTATTCCTCTACTGCAAAGGTAATTCTTAAAATATAAGAGTTAAATAAAAACAATGATAAAGTATTCCAGGCCATTTGAGTCCTCTAACTTGCTGGAAATCTTGGTGGCAGGGGTGTCTGATCCTTTCCTTTTCTGCATAGTAGGAAAGGATTATATAACTGTGCATAACCAGCTACTGAAGCTAAGGCAGTGAAGAAGGGTGCATATCGGAACCCAGTTGATACATTCAAGGCTAGGCAGATATTTTGCTCACATTGCTTTCATTGAGACATGCTTTTGTAAGCACCCTAAATATAGATTGCCTACGATTGGTTCTATACATAGAAATAAGTTGTCAAGAGTCCGCTTTAGTGAGGATTACTCACAATATCTGTATACCGTTGCTCCATGCTGGTAGGAAATCACCTCATAAAGTGATCTTGTAGGTTATTTGTTGGTGGATAGTTTAGTTTGCATAAATTTGTTTTGCCACTTTCTTTTAAATAGAAGAGGGGAATACATTTGAGGAATTTAGGTAATAACCTTTATTTTAGGAAGATTAATCTCCTCAGTCAGTGAAACAAAAGGTTTTGCCAGATATTGGGTTGTGACTTAAACATTCAGTACTGGATCCTAAGATTTTAAAACTTCCACCAAATGTAAGCAGTAAGGTAGGATTGCATTGATAAAAAAAAGGTTTGGACCAGGTCACGTTTAAGCCTGAAAAAGTAGTAGATTTTTTTCTGCAGCACTCCTTTTTAGAAACTAATCAGTGTCAAGAAGTTCATAGTATGTGATGGGGAATTGGTCTGTGCTAGATTAGTTTTTCCTACTCCTGTACCACATTTCTTCTACGATAGCTATAAAGTAAGGGAAAAGCAAAAATAAGTCAGGGAGGGGCACAGAAGAAGCTGCTTGTCTGTTTGGTATGAGGTTTACTTTTTCTCGTTCATCAAAGGACACAGGAATTCAGAGGCTGTTGGGTCATACTGCCTTCTACGGGAGGATTTAGACACTGGCACACCAAAAAATTGTGGCCAGTTCAGTATAACCCCTCTTAGTCCCAGCATGCCTTCGTTTTTTTTCTAGTGTCCAGAGGGATGAATGTCTTCGCTCTGCTGAGAACAGTCTAACCCTTTTGCTAGCTTTTTTTTTTTTCTTCAGTCTAGATCACAGTTTTATTCTTAAATCAAGATTTCTCTTCAAGCTTCATGAACTGGTCTCTATGTGCAGCTTTCCAGATTAGAATTTTCTCAGCACTAGCTTTGGAGGCTGGACCCCATTGGACGATTGCGGGGCTAGTCTGGATTATGAACCCATTACCAACATTTCTATCTCTACTCTCACCCACAAATTGATATTTATTGTAGCAATCCCCTGTAGTGATTCCATCCATTGTCTGGATGTGGTTCAAGCTTTGAGGATCTCCCAACCACTTCTTCCTTCACAAAGATTGATTCCTTTTTTTCTCAGCCCAAATGACCCCCATAAGGGTGCACCAGCTTCTCATTTCATCTCTCTTAGTGATCGGGTCCCATGTTTTCCTGCAAAGGCTGTCACCTGGCATTACTTTCTCTATTCACTTGTCCTCTTAAGTTCAGCTTCAGGTGTATCGTCCTTTAAGTGGTCCTTTAGTATAATCCAAAAGTGAATGACTTCTGTGTACCTCGATGGACTTCAAAAGGATTTTACAGTGAATGAAAAAATCCTATTCTAGAAATTTACAATGTACTACAGGTTAAATTTAATGTAAAGATGGACGAGGATGCATCAGCCCACAAGGTATTGGCCATTTAGCTTGCAGAGGTTTATGGTTTTATGCAAGGTTAAACTGACCCCATTTGCATCAAGTGATCCATGCTTGACATTTTTTGCATAATTTAAAAAATATCAGCAACTAATCATGGCTTATGAAGGTTTACTTGCCTTTGTATATAGATAATTAGATGTTTAAGTCAGGGTTTTCGAATAGCATAATTAATATCATATTCATTGAATATGTAATAAATGTGTGCAGAGACTGACCAAAATGTATCACTTTGAAGCAGAACTACAGTAAACTCCCCAGTATCCGGCATTCCAGCAACCGGCAAAAAACATTGAGGACATAATATGTCCTCGATGTTTTAAAAAAAAAATGTTTTGCCATTGGCTTGATGCACACTAAAAAAATGTAACTTGCTTAGTGCACATTAAAAAATTTAATTAGCAACTAAATTTATTTAGCTGCTAATGAAATTCTTTGTTTACATCTTGCTGCCGGCCCGCGGCCAGATTCTGCGGTCGGCAGTAGAATGTAAACAATGGGAAGCAATAGCCGGCCTGCTATTGGCTATTTCAAATTGCAATAGCCAATAACAGGCTGACTATTGTACCCGCCCACTGAGCAGAGGAGCGGACCTGAGAGAGAACTTTCTCCGGTGCTTGGAGGGTCTCCCGGGGATCTAATCATCTGCAGCGCAGCCCAGCGCACACCCAGCTTTTCCGTGTGGTTCCCAAGAAGACTGATGTGAGGCCGGTATCGGGTTTTGGTTTTGGAGCATTAGCATGACAAGTACTTGTGCACATGCTTAGTATCAATACGGGTATCGGTGCATCAATAGTTTGCATTGATATATGTTGTAGACATTTTTTTATTTTTTAGTGCTCTTATTGTAACTGATTCAAAGTTAAAATGTAGCGTGCAGCTTCTTTTCTTTTCCTACAAAGAAGGGTTACCATTATTATTAGTCTTATTCTTTAAGTGATTATGGCTCATCACATTCATTTTTCTGCTATATGACAATCTTTGAGGCCAACCCAGCACATAGTGGCTACATCTGAAATGTAACACATACTTGTCTTTTATCCCCCATACAGCTCCAGGATATTTTACTATATGATTTCATATTTTCTAGTGCCAAAGACTGAAATGATAGATAATCGTTTGGGTAATCTATCAGAGGAGTTTAAGGATCTGGTGTATCCACCCGGTTATAACCCTGAAGGCAAATCTGTAAAAAGAAAACAAGGTAAAGAATAGTCAAAGCTTATTGAAGTCTGGAAAATATGCTTCAAGTGTATTTCCACTTTTTCAGCCAAATTATATTTGTTACATGCAGTATTCACAAAGCAGCTTTAAAAATTAAAAAATTGATAATTGTATTTTATTGGCTT